ATGGTGCTTTACAACACTGTACGGGGGACTTAACCAGACTGCTAAGCAGTTTACAATCAAATAAAGGCGAATATGATAGATGCCCCCTCCCCCCAATTTCCAGTAACCAGGCCAGGCCACATCACAGTAATCTTGTGAAGTGGGTTCTTTAATGTCCCCTGCCCAACCAAATTAACTAATTAATAGATGCAGGAGACGGGACCTCCATTTATTCATCCCTATCCGAGAAGACTAGAATATCTAACCATTTCTTGATTGATGTTATAGAAAGGTTGCGTACTATTCTTCTCAATTATTTTAAGACCCTGAGTGTTGGTCTGGCCAGGGCTCAAACCCTCGACCTCCCGCACAACAGTCTGGTACTTAACCAATCGAGCTAACCAGGAGGTAGTTGTATGGGGGAAAAGGGCTAAAAGCAATTTAGTCAGGATCCTCATTGGTGCATGATGGTTTGGCAAAATTTGTCTTTGATTTTAGTTTAATCTCTGTAAAACCCTTAGGTGACAAATTTGTACCCAATATAATATGCCTCATTAAACTGCTGGGGTCAGTAAGTAGATACCAAGAAAGTGCTTAAAAAATAGCCTCTGCTTTAATAGCCCCATTCCCTACCAAACTACAGAATTCTTGGAGTCCTTTTAAAGAGGACATCTTTATCATATCCAAGTTTGTTTTCTTCATGCTGATACAATCGTGTTCTGCACTTTAGTTTTCCATATTTTGTTTCAATAATTGAAAACCTCTTACCTTCATTTTAGGATTATCAATAATGGACTTGAAGCTGAAGAAAGTTAGCTGAGGATTTGTTAAGTCATCTGGTATCCAAGAAAATAAACTCAGAGCTCTAAAAATGATTAAAAATAAAATGTCAACTAATGAAAATACAGACCATAAATACAGTGTTTTTAAGGATGAAAACACCCTGGACTCTCTAATGGGTAATGAGTGATTCCATCTAATTCCTTCAATCATTTTTAATGAACATTATTCATGCGAACGAATGAAAAAAATTGAAAAAATGATAAAAAATTAATGGAGCTTCCTTTGTGTCCTGTATTTCCAAAACAAGATACACTAAAACATTATCATGGCTACTCAGTAGTCCCTAACCAATCACACAGCACAGCTGGTCATTCACACATCATTCTATAGATTGTTAAGCTTGAACCACCATACAAAAAGACCTTTAAACACAATTTTTCACTTCGCTTAACACTAACCTTTCATGCCACATCATTCTTATCAAATATGCTGCCACCTCATCTTTCTCTGCGGCTAATGCTAATTCAACAGGTAATAACATCCTCATTTTCTTTGCTTCTTTAGTCTTCACAGCTAACAGCCCTGGACATTTCTTTAAAAGTGTTTTGGTGACATGTAAAAAGCCAAGTTCTGCAGCATAGTGTAGTAGGGTCTTCTTTGTTTTGTCTTCTTCGTCCCTGAATTTCTCGTATCTACTATCAGAGTTTGATTCACTTTCAAGTAAAATCTTCAAAAACCGATTTATCTGCAACAAAAAAGGTAATTAGTAAAGTCATCAGATAATGTTCACTACAAAATCACGATTTGCCGCTGTTGAGCTGATCAATTCAATACACTTATTTGACGGAGCCAATTGATGCATATCAGAATAGCAAAACAGTTTCAATTAAACCTTAGCTTGCATCACAAAACTTACATACCAATTGTTCAAGGCCTGGAAGTCTTTCAGGATCTTCCTTGTACTGTCTGGTTTCTGGCCACTGCTTCAACATCAAAAGCGCTGGATCCTTGCCATACAGCTCCCCATTATCTTTGCACTTCTGAATCAGTCTTTCCACACTAACTTCATCTATGGCTCTGTTCCACGACAATCCTTCAGTCTGTTTTCGATGAACCTACATGGGTATAAGGACCAGGTGTGTTTAGTAAAAAGCCCCTCTACCTGTGTTACATAGAACTCGTAAACTTTTATTCATTCCTTATACATCTATTGGGGAAACTCCTGAGGGATGCTTTTTAAATTACGTCTTTGTTACCTTAATCCAGAACTCCTCTCCCTCAAGGAAGTCCCTCGGGTGATCAATTTCAGACTGCAAAACTCGCTCGATATCAATATCTTTTTTAATACACTCGGATAAATTTTCTTCCCCCAAGTGTGAATTCATTTATCGGCAGCCTAACCTAACCTGTAATGCTTACCTGATATTTTCAACTGTCGAAATCCAGATGATCAGCTGACGACAAATCAACGAGTACGTTGGGAACGAACCGCGACCATTACGAAAACGAGGCAAAGCCGCGAAAGAATGGGAAAGTGAAAGACGGTAAGGAATAAAGAGAAGGCCTGTGCGAGAGATTGAAGGTGAAGGCATCCTTGAGGTGTCTGCCTTGTGTTAACTCGTGAAGATTCTCAGATTTGTCGTTTGTCAGTCTAACAAACTGTTCTGATTTAGAAGTGCCAAATATTTTTCTCTATTGTACATCAGTAATGCGTGCTTCAGGTCTACAGGCACCTCGAGATTTTTACGGAACAAATTTAACGACGCTGACTTTTTCCGCATACATTCCACGTGCATTTTTGCGATATTTATTCTTTTGCACTTTTTGTCAACGGTTACATCTGAGCTGTTGCGTTTGGCCTGAGTTCAGTCACTCTTAAATTTTGTACTTTATAGCAGAGTTCTTTCAAAAGTCTTTTAATCGTATCGTTTGCACTGCTGGTTTGTTTCTCAACATAAAGAAAATCGAAAATGAAATATGTTATGTTTCTGTATACTGGAAGCGACAGCGAAAAAGCCGAAGAATTGAGAGATTATCTACAAGGCAAACTGCGCAACTTTGCTGACTTGAGAAGTATTACCGAAAGTTCAGCAGAGGAACGAGATTTCAGGAAAGAACTTCGAGCTCGAGGAGATTGTGTCGTGTTAATTGGGTCGCACCATGCGTCGGCTCTTATTCGAAATAAGCTACAAGAGGCCGAAGATGATTTTCTTACCTTTGATGGCAAAGTGATAAACGAAGAGCTCACTGAGAACAAAGACTTGGTGGATAGGCTGATCATCGTCTTCTTCGACGATAAAACGATGAATGATTGGATCCCTGCTGGTTTCGATGAAAGAAAAACTTTCCAATTGAAAGGTGAAAAAATCCGGAGAGGGAATCCCATCCTAGATCAACTTGAATTTTTCATAAAATGTACACTCGATGGTAAAACTCGCGTGGAACAAATGTTGATGCCATAGACATTTACAGCCTCATAAACGCTCAGCACAAGCTGGATACCTTTTGCTAAACATTGCTTCTAGTACTTATTCGAGGCTACTTTCTTCAAATTTATCATAAGTTAAACAGCAAGTTAGAATTGTGTGTGGTATGAAATTGACCTGATTGAGACATTCCTTAAATTCAGTTGAAAACATAGCTTATTCTTACGGTCGACCATGTGGAAACTAAGGCCCCATTTTTATGGTCCTGGGTACCCGAGGCCTGTTCATTACCCTACCTTGTAAAATAAATAATCAGATCAGTTTTTGTATGTTATGACAGGAGTCGAAATAGCTCAATAAAAGAGAAAGGACTTCATGATAGCTTACAATTCTTTTACTTTAAATTCGCGCCGTTCTCCCCCCGGTCCACTACTCCTTCCTTCATATGTAAACGCATATGATACTGGGGGAATAAAGGGATCTCGGCTTAATTAGGCCGGTATTTTTGTAAAAGATTACCCAGCAATTAGGCCCGATTTTACACATACTTATTTTCATTTTTCTTCTTCCATTTTTACTTATAATCTCTTTTCCACTATCATCTTTCTTCAATTATTTTGGCGCTAGTGCTCTCACCCAATGTTTGACAGGTAGCTCAACCTAGTTGGACCAGCCTGCGATGCTGACGCTTGACAAGCACGTGACTCCCTCGGGGATGGATAAAAGCGTGTTTGTCATCCACCCAAAACCAGGTCACTAATATCTCTAAAATCTTTGGGCACTGCTTTCACCGTTCATATAGTTGGTCTTTTTCTTCTATGATTTCTTAAAGTCTGTATGTGACATCATAAGCTGTTTGACCACTCGTGAATTCCTTGTATAAACCATTCTTGGCCACTTGACCTCCGATTGATTACATGCACCACAATGAAATCGCGTCTCAGCTTTTTATTTCAGTCTTCTGAAGTTGGTAAGGGGAAGAAATTTATCCAATTTAGTATACTCTTTCGGCAAGATAAAACCCTCGAATTGTCAGTTCCGCAAAAAGGCAACAAACTATCGACCTGTTATGGTTAATCTAACTTTATATCAACTTGAAAAAAGTCATTTTCTAAACTAAAGGTATCCTTGGTGTAAAGAAATGAACAAATAACTAATAACAATGATAATATCAAGAACAAAAGTGATAAAAAATCGTGAATAACAAAAGAAAAACTACAATAAATTCGCCCTATGTAAAATGCATTTCTCGAGAATATCTCTCACATTATTTCACTGTTTCTATCAGAGAGATTTTTTTGGATCTCATAAAAACAATTAAAATAGCTTTTTAAATAATAAATGTTCTCCGCGGCTATAACGAGTAAATAGTAACTAATACTTAATGTTCTTTAGATTTATATACTTTGAATACATTCTTTTCGTAAACTTTTCAGGTAACACATCTTACTTTCCAATAGTTTCGATAACAAAATGGGGCTTTTTTCAGTTTGTTTTATGATGCTCATTGGTTTTTCTCTTTTGATCTCTCGTTGATATCTGAAGCACATCGATTCGTTTACGTGCGTTGTAGATTGGCTTAATGTCGCTTTTAGATCTAACTGGCTCGTTGCTTCCGCTCAATAAGTTCTCAATGGCGCTTCCTTGGGACGGTATTAAAAATAAGTCTTCAGAATCTTAGATCAATTCTGTGCGTTGAAAAGGTTGGACAGCTTTCGCTGTCACATATACACTAACTGGGGCAAATAAGGAAACTGGGTAGTAATTGAGTACCGAAAATAGTACTATTATGTTTGACTCAGGGAGCTCAGTTCATTCTCTTCCAGACCTCATCTGTTTGACCATCTTTTTCATCATGTTCCTGAAAAACCAAAACAAAAAAAACAAAACAAAAATGGGAAACGATAAATAATTGGGTGGGGTGGGTTCCAAAGTTTACTGCACAACAAGTAATAACTTTGGATGTGTCAAACAGTCCCAAAATAATATCTAAAAATTATTGATTTTAATACATTACGCTATGTGACAGTCATATACAAAATTTGCGCTTTTCTCGTTTAAACAGTGAGGTGTAACAACTGAAAGCTATAGTGGGATGTATAAGCCAATTTGCTTTTTCCCGTAAACTGCTTCGCAACCTTGCAATGATTGCACGCAACTATCATCCAAGATAAACTTCCTTTTGGGCAGTGATGCGTGCTATCCCAAAGAATGTTGTAACTATGAAGGAGATCACTTTTCCCGCATGAGGCAATTTGCTGGGGTTTTTTTTTTGGTTTATCGTTGGCTCCTTTCAATACTTTCACTTGGTTGATTGTCTCCATGTTCATCTTAGTTTTTTTTTTACGCAACCCGATTGACTGAACTCAGTGGGTGATTTATGGGGCTCATGCAGAAGTTGATGGACACGAAAGAGATCATTCTTACCTGATCTCAATAACTTTCTCCTCCACTGACTCCCAAGGGTTACGATCTTCGTTGAATTCAAGAAGTTCTGCAAGGAAAGCCAGATTGTATTCAAGAAAAAAAATTTCTGGGCATTACAGCACCGGGATGCAAAACAGACTTTGTTTTTCAACATTTTATCAACTTAGGATGAGACTCCATTCTGTCCCCTGCGCACGAAAGAAAATTAAACCAAAAATTAGAAGAAACTCTTCTCCCAGACTGCCACATAGCTCTTGCTAATGAAAAGAAAGACTTGTAATGCAAGCAGCCCCTCACACGGTAGCAACGCCATGTTTGTTCTCTCTCGAATCTCAATTCCTCGGCCAACTTTCAACTGACAGCACTTTAAAAAGATGTCTCATTAAATAGTATTTGTCACAAGTATTTCACTACCAACCCTTTGCGAGTTTCATTTCACTGATCCAGTCTCCCTCCTTGTAATACTTCACGCGCAAATTCTTCAGAGAGAAAAGTCGTGAGAAAACCAATCAATTACATCCTCCCGTCCGCTGTCCGACGTACTCTAAAATGTACGCATGCACAGCAAATTTGCGCAATTGCACATGGTCTCGATCAATACGCAAGGTGGAACATGACTCTCATTGCTCGATTCTATTTACCAATGGGACACTTACCAGAAAAGGAAATCTTTCCATGCGACTGAGTTGTAATATTCGATCCACATCATACTCCAGACGAGCGACTTTCTTGGCTTGTGTGTAAGTCGTACTCATCTGTGCCACGAGAATGTTGAGAAGAATCACAGTCACTGTTCCCATGTATGCCATCATCAACAGAACTGAGAGCCAGCTTCAGTAAAAAAAATAACAAAAACTCTGGCTAATCTACCAGGAACGCATACATAAGAGACCTATCATCCACTACAGCAGGCCTAACCAAATCCCCGTTACTTATTAAAGATCTAATATCTGATCTTGGTATCCTTGAACTGGCTTTTAAAACTCAAATCGATGCAGTCGCTAAAAAATTAAGTGTCACTTACTTCAAAGTTGAGTAATCTTCTGCCATTGGATACTGCTCAGACAGTGCACGAAACCCGTTCAGCAAGACGTCTCCAAAACCACTAAAAATAAACATTAAAAGTCAAAATTAGTATGTTGGGTTTTCGCACTTCCTACGCATTATATTCACCAACTTAGTTCGCGCGGACAGTAAATTGCTTTTGCAGAGGACGAAAAAAGTTTAAATAAATACAAAATCTAGCCAGTTAAGGCGCAAATCAAACCAAACAAATTCCATAGGAAATTCTCGAATATTTTTCTTACCATAAAGGAACACAGCCTTCATTGTTTTGCTTTGTTTGTTTGCCTGTTTCTTTGTTTTCAAAAACAACTTCATAGCTTTGAAAAGGAGATATATACTCAACAGAAACGCACCGGAGTTCTTGGTTTTCACTTGATCCGGAGTAACAGAGTGATAAAGACAGAGCACCACAAAAGGAGAAAAAGATCACAATAAAAACTGCCATGGATCTTGTAACGTCTTGTAAAATGATCTTGGCTAAGGTTTGGGTGTATAGTCCCGTTGTCCTAGGAAAGATACAAAGTTAGGTTAGATGAAAGTGGTGATTTAATTTTAAGTCACATTAAGCAAAATCCGAATTATCAATCTAAACTAATCTAGTGGGAGTTACCTTGACACACATGAAAACTTAAATATCCTCAGAAAGTTGAACAAGAAGGCCAAAGATGACACCATCCACTGTGCTTTATGATCCATGTACCGGAGAGGTATTATACACAGGATCAAAAGCAGGCCTAACCAGTCAAACAAGGCCATCCACTCTGTGAAATAAGAATGTCCCTCTCTGCAAGAAATCAGGCAGTTTGGTTTAAGTTGCTACTCTATTAGAAGTCTTTTGTCAAACAAATCATCTGACCTTCGTACAGATTGCATACAGCGTGCGCGAAAGACGAAAATGACACAAACGTAATTAAGTGCTGTCATGGCCAACAAAATAATCTAACGTATATGTGCACGATCCTTCGCAGTAAAGCACTATTTAAGCAATTGTGAAAATCAGACCTGAAAAAAATTCAGGCCTGTACGGGATTCGAACCACTGACCTCTGCGATACTAGTGCAGCGCTCTACCAATTGAGCTAACAAGCCAACTGGGAGCAGGCCATCAAATTAATTCGACATAAACCCGTAGATGATAAATCAAACAACAAATATATATGAAATACATATATATGAACTGCAGTTATGAAACGTATATGTGCACGATCCTTCGCAGTAAAGCACTATTTAAGCTAAATAATCTAAGGCGCATAAAGGTTCGTTGTTTAAAAAGCAAACTTTGAAAAAAACGAAAAAAAGAGTTTGGACTGTTCAGGGCCGCCATTTTGTTTCTTGACGTTTTCCGTTCGTATTTTAGCCCTGTTCTACAATGCCATACCGTGGCATATTGCGTGCGCTCGTAAAATGGCAGATAGCGTAAACGTGGAATGACAATTAACAGTTTTAACCGGTTTCCATGTTGATGCACTCAAAGTTCTGATTTTACCTTACCACAATTACTTACATTCTTAATTGATTGATTTCTTCACAGATGTAAAACACAACTATAAGAAGAGTGACAACCTCACAAAATCCACGCAGTAAGTCCAGCGCACCGCTGTAATGAGTGGGGTCCAGTTTGGTTGATGCATGCAGCAGAGAAGATGACAAGAACAGCAAGAAGATGCAATACAATGCTGCTTGAAGGCTACAGAAAAGAAGACGCAGTGTTACCTCTGGAGGAGCAGAATGAGGAAGGCGAAAGAGGAATGGGTATGAAGATTAACAGGAAGATAAAAAACCTCAAGCACAATCTTGTCAAGTATTTTTGAATTAGCAACCCTCAAAAATCTTCCAGTATTCTGCATTCACAATGATCTAAAATAACAAACCTGAATTACAGAGACACAAATGTAGAGGTAAAAAAAATCAGATACCACCTTAAGTGTACTTTGTACATGAGCGCATGATAAGGCTGTGTGTCTAAATAGAGTTAAATGGTGTGGAGCCTGCACAGATATTAACTGGTTTACCTGAGAAATAAGTGTCCATAACTTTTCCATTTTGTTTTAATTAGCATCCTGACCACAGGATGTTGCAAAGCCTCCTAAAAATGAAAATCAAGAACTGACTTCTGCCAAACACATAGGGTGAGAGTGATCAAAGAGACAACTGAAAATTTCCACTGTTTCTAAATAACTAAAGAACTAGGATACATTTTTTTCAAGATCAATCTTACCTTATTGTTGCTTGTTGCAATAGCATATAAACAGGACTTGTCTCTACGGTTAAAATATTTGTTTTCTATCTGCTTATGTTCATCTGAAGCCACAATCTTTGGGGGTCGTCCTTCCTCATCTCCATCCAGTATATGATAATAAAAATGGTAGTTTAATGGATCATCTGTGATTGTCTTCCAGACTCCTTCAATCACCTCCATCTGTTGCTCAGTCTCATAGTTTTCTTGACGCTGTGGAAGATACGGCCAATGAGGGATCACCATCTGGTCTAATACAGCCACTACTGTTTTCTGTAGATGACATTAAGTTCCATCAAAAGCATGACATGTATCTACTTTACATCAGGGCTGTTAAAAAGATGTGTAAGATGTGTTTTACATTGGACTAAACAGCAAAAGATGATGCTTAACCCGATTTTGATGACAGAGGTGCATGCATGCCAAAAACAGAGTTTTCAAGAATGCTCTTATTTGAATAGGTTATTCCCCTTATAGCTTACAATTGTAAGACACACACAACAGAAGAATACTTTACTATCAAAATCACAGATGAGTTATTATTATTAAAAACTAACCTGAATATTGAGATGAAAATTTCCAACAAAATTAATTTTTAAAAAGAACTTGATAGAAAAAATTACAAAAAATGTGACTTACATAATAGGCCTCAGAAAATAATAACTTATAGGGCTCCAGATAGCAGCACCACTGCCCCTATACCCCTTCTTCTGGTGTGATAAAAAATATTAGATAATTTTCCACATTTCTTTACTTAAAAAATGGAAAGTTTGAGCTGATATATTAGATACATGTATATTGCATTAGAAAAAGCTTAACCCAACCAAACTAAGCTCAAGGAACAGCTTTCCTTAGGCCATCAAGCTAATATAACCTGATGAATGTACACCTGCATTACATCTATAGTTTTGTAAATACAACAAGCTCACCTGCAATTTAGGATTCTCAATAATTGCTTTGAAACTAAAAAGGGATGGCCGAGGATTTGTCATATCTTCAGGTGTCCAGGAAAGTAAGCTTTGAACTCTGAAAATAAAAAAACAGATGAAATGAGCCATTACTTCAAAAGTTAGTTATCATACACTCCATCATTTTGATTAATTAAATTACAAACAGCAAGCTTGCTGAGTCAAGTCACTTAAGAAAAAGATTAATATCCTTTCATTAATTTACATACTGTGACCTATATTTCAGCACTTTGATTGCACAACCTGCTGCATACATGCATCTCTCTAGTCTCTTAGAACATATCATGACGATTTAAAAAGAGTAATTTCAGTAACTCAAATAATAAGCATGTTTCCACCTTCCATGCCCCATAACTCGAATCAAATATGCTGCCACATCATCATTCTCTGCAACTATTGCTAACTCCACTGGTAACATAGCTCTTCTTTTCACAGGCTTTAATTGATCTTCTGTCATTTTGGTAAGCATGAGAGGGCATTCCCTCGCAAGTGTTTTGGTGACATGTAAAAAGCCAAGTTCTGCTGCATAGTGCATCAGTGTCTTTCTTGTTTTGTCATCTTCATCCTGGAACGCCTTGTATCTGTTCCCTGAGTTTCGTTCACTTTCCAACAGAATCTCCAGAAACCTGTTTATCTACAAAACACATTGACAATAACCCTTGTAAAAAGAGAATGAATTATTCACTCGACATGATTTTCCAAACTGGTTAGATAGAAGAGAAAGACTGATTAACTAACTTGAAATGCATGTAAAACTGTATATAGAAATCACAACCTGTTGCTCAAGTCCAGGAAGTTTATCAGGATTATCTTTGTAATGTTTAGATGCTGGCCAAATTTTTAACATCAGCAGAGCTGGATCGTTATTGTTCATTTCCCCGCTGTCCTTGTATTTCTGAACCAAACTTTCAACGCGAACTTCGTCCATAGCCCTGCTCCAAGACAATCCTTTGTTCTGTTTTAGATGGACCTTTGCAAATAAATCAAGCTTGTTATAAAAAGAGAACTGATCAATGCATCAAGACGATAGCAAAAGGAAACTAGAAAAATCTTATTTGCCTTGACCCAAAACTCCTCGTCAAATTCATCTTCTGTCAAATCTCCTCGCTGGTGATCACGACAACGATCAATTACAGGTTGATCTCCTCGTTCTGTGCTCTTTTCAACTCGCTCCAACTCTCGCTCCCTTTTAGTCATTCTACAATTGTTTATTACCAGCCACATTTAAGTTGAATGTGTTATTTCTGCATCATTTCTGAATGACTGCATTTTTCTTTCGTCAAGCAAACACACGTTGAATTGTCAGTACACTAACCGAGTAGTGACTGAAGGCCTTGGATCAACACATTCCCAGGGTTATCAGCTTCTCGGTTGAAAAATCGGAAAGCCCCTGGGAACCAGAGTAAGATTGCAGCCCGAAGGCGACGCCCAAGGCATTTACATAAAAAATAAATAAAAAAACAAGACAACACAAAGTAAAACTTTGCCTCATGATCTTTCGATTTCTACCGATTGTGGTTAAGTTGTAAGATATTTTACAATCTTTTGGAACTTTTCACGAGACAAAAAGATTGAGAGAGATTCACAATGCATGACGAAAACTTGCATCACAGGGTTAGTAAAAACTCCGGAAATATTTCAACGTGACTTTAATTTTAAAAATGTATGCAGGCAGAAAGTCGAGAATTATGCGAAAGAATGTATTCGTCACGTATGGTATCAGAAGCCAGCGTGGGTATTGTGTGAAAAATTCCAGTCCCAAAAACCAAGGATCAGCTTTGTATGACGCGCTGAGTACTCCTGTTCTTTTGAGGTGTCTTAAAAAAAACCCAAAAGTTTTCGAGGCTTGATGATTCCACAATCTAAACATATTCATGTTTTTAAAACAACTATATAGTGGCAATTCTTTCACATACTGTTCGAAATTAAGTGCTCGTGCAATTTACACATTTTTTTCAATATATATTACAGTAGCTGGAGGCGTTCAGACCTGTCTTAGCGACTGTTCTTCAGCAAACGTATCTTTATATTCTTGTTCTAAAGATTTGCATTACAGCATCCGACAGCGAGTCTTTTCTCCTCTCCCAACCGAATTCGAGTCGAAAATGAGATCTGCGTTGTTTCTGTATCCTGAAAGCGATAGCGACAAAGCCAGGCGACTTATGAGTTATTATCAAGGCAAGCTGGGAAAGATTGCAGTTGTGAGAGGTATCAAGAACATATTGGCGAGGGAACAAGATTTCGGGAAACAGCTTCGTCTCAGTGAGTGTGTCGTATTGGTTGGAACACGTCAAGCTTCGTTTCTCATTCGAACCAAGCAGCAAGAAAAAGACGATGATTTTATCACTTTCGACGGCAAAGTTATACATGAAGAGTTCACAGAGAACAAAGAGATTGTGAAGAACAGACTTCTCATCGTTCACTTCACAGAGAGAAACGAGGATGACTGGATTCCGAAAGGTTTTGATGAAAGGCGAATTTTTCACGTGGAAGATGGGATAGTCCCTCCCGATGGAAGTCCAACTTTGACCCACCTAGAATATCGTATGAGGAAAGTTTTGCTCGGAGATGACTTCATGTATTAAGCTCTAGTATAATGGAGAGTACAACAAAGGTT